AGACAGAGGCGCGAGCCCAAGCTGCTGCCCCCTCGCCGTATCCACCGTATTTCCGGCTGCTCAGTCCCCCTATCTCACAGCGTTCGGTTAGGACTATAAAGTTGCACGGCAGTTTGTTTAGAATACTGTGGGGTTGTTACAGTGATTGAAAATTCATTTCAATCTTCCTTCCCTTTCTTCCTTTTTTAAGTTTGTTCACTTTTACCAGGAAATATTAGTAAGCAGGATGGGATAACAATCTTTGAAAAGGAGGAATGACAAAGTTAAAAAGGTATAGTGACAAGTTAGAAAATCACATAAAATTCACAAGGACGTTTTCTAAAGTAACTTATATATGATAAACATGCACATAGGCATTATTTTTAAATTTCAGAATAATTTTTATTATAAAAAAGGGATCATATAAAAATCACATAAAAATGAACCTCCATCTTATTCTCCAACAGTGAACTTTGTTAATAATTCAGCAGATATTTCCAGATATTGGCTCTACTGTAACATAAATATAGAAATAATGCATATGAGGGAATTTCAAATGGAAAGGTGGAATCGAGTATGAGTGTATTTTGGTGCCCCAAGTTGGGAAAATCTCACATATGGGGCGAGCCAGTAGAGTGATGGTTAAGGCAGCTGGATCCCACTTGGCTGACTGTACAGTTCAAGTCCCAAGTCCAGCAGTTTGAAAAACATGCTCAGCACATGTGCAAGAGTGCCCAAAATTCCAGAAGGAAGGAGAGATGGAAGAAAGAGAGAGCTGTGTGGCCATCCCCATGGGAAAGCTTTCTTGCCCTCCCTCCACCTCTCCCTCTTTCCCCCTCTCCCTCTCCTCCCTCTCCTCCCTCTCCCTCTCCTCCCTCTCCATCTCCCTCCCTCACTCTCCCCCTCTCCCTCTCTCTCTCTCCCTCTCTCTCCCTCTCTCTCCCTCTCCCTCTCCCCCCTCCCTCTCTCTCTCCCTCCCTCTCTTTCTCTCTCTCTCCCTCTCTCTCTGGAGAGCATATATATCCTCAGACAAAATTTTTTTTTAAACTTTCAGAAAATGTGTGTGGGAGTGGGAGGGTATATCATTTTAGCTTCCAAACTTTCCTGCCTAATCTCATGGACTTATTTCCATGTTGTCTGTTTGTGTGATTCATCAACTTTATTTAACAAGCCCAGAGATGTCTGCATTTACCAACCATTTGTATATTTTACATTTTTTAGTTATTTTTCATTTTCATTTAATCACTGTATGTCTTTACAGTTGTACAACACGGTTTTCCCCAGCATGAACATGGTGTATATTAGCCAAGTCAGACACTAACAGATAACTTTTCATTTGTGTGTCTATTAAATGTTTAGTTCATTTTCCCCCTGACCCCTCCTTCCCACCATTACCCACAGCTCCTGTTACTTGGCCAGCACCCTCTATGTCCCCCCACTCGTACACCTTCCGGCCTCTCAGTTTCTGCTGTAGAGTGCAGACATCCGGCATTCAGCGGAGACATGCAATGCCTGTCTTTCATAGCCTGGGTTTCATTAAAAAATGCATATTTATATTTCAAAAAATTCAAAACACATTTGAAAATGAATCCGCTTCTTGATAGTTGTAAGCTCTGTGGTTTGTCTCATCAACCACACCTTGCTTTGAAAGTGATGCATTTTTAGAATTGAAATTCGATAACAATTTCTGCACATATGTATAAATTATTGCATTTAGGTTATATTTAATTTACAAATATTTAATTTTTACCCTCAAGTCCTTTTGAAGACAAAAAACCCATATACTGTGTTTTTTCAGTATCAGACCAATTAAGAGGGAGAGAAAGAGTTCATGTGTGATGTTTCCTTTTTATGTTTAGTAATATTCTGTTGTCCCAGACATTATTAGACTTCTGTAATTGGGTGAGTTAAAATTGCCTAAGAAATAACCAACAAATGGATGCGCGATCTTTGGGGTGAAGAGTAGATGGTATACTGCAAATGGCCGATGTGTCGCGAACGCTATCGGTGGATTATCTGGGCTCCATCTGCGGCCTTTGGGGTTCTGGCGGGAGTGCAGGATTGGGTCTTTGGAGGAACTGTGGCTGGTCACTGCAAGGTTTACCTTTTGCCCCGTTGGAGCTAGAGGAGCGCACAGGGTGGTTAAGGACGAAGAACTAAGCCACGTTTTCTAGGTTCAAACGTAAGGCTTCCCCTCAGTACCTGTGACGGTCTGCCTGATGCCTGCGCCAGTCCCCTCTCCCATGAGCTGGGGAGGGTTATAACAGCACCAGCACACGCTGTGCTCGCTGACGTGGGCCAGGGCATCCACGTGGGCGGCGCAGACGATGCCTGGTTGACAGCATGCGCCCTTCACACCGGCTGTCACCAGGACTGGTCTTTCCCCTCAGGCGCAGTAGAGATGGAGGGCAACCACAGCGCCCACGGGGCCTTCATCCTTCTGGGGTTCTCCGACCGCCCCCATCTGGAAAGGATCCTCTTCGTGGTCATCCTGGTGGCCTACCTCCTGACCCTTGTGGGCAACACCACCATCATCCTGGTGTCCCGGCTGGACCCTCACCTGCACACCCCCATGTACTTCTTCCTCACGCACCTGTCCTTCCTGGACCTCAGCTTCACCACCAGCTCCATCCCCCAGCTGCTCTACAACCTGGCGGGGCACGACAAGACCATCAGCTACGCGGGCTGCGCGGTCCAGCTCTTCTTGTTCCTGGGTCTCGGCGGCGTGGAGTGCCTGCTCCTGGCAGTCATGGCGTACGACCGCTTCGTGGCCGTCTGCAAGCCCCTGCACTACGTGGTGATCATGAGTCCACGGCTCTGTCTGGGCTTGGTGTCCGTGGCCTGGGGCTGTGGGGTGGCCAACTCCCTGGCCATGTCCCCAGTGACCTTGCTCTTGCCGCGCTGTGGGCACCGCAAGGTGGACCACTTCCTGTGTGAGATGCCGGCCCTCATCCGGCTGGCCTGCGTCGACACTGTGGCTGTTGAGAGCACCGTCTTCATCCTGGCCGTGGGCATCGTGCTGTCGCCCCTGGCATTCATCCTGGTGTCCTACGGCTACATCGCGAGGGCCGTGCTGCAGACGAGGTCAGTGTCCGGGCGGCAGAAGGCCTTCAACACCTGCGGCTCCCACCTCACCGTGGTCTCGCTGTTCTACGGGAACATCATCTACATGTACATGCAGCCGGGAGCCAGCGCCTCCCAGGACCAGGGCAAGCTCCTCACCCTCTTCTACAACATCGTCACCCCGCTCCTCAACCCCCTCATCTACACCCTCAGGAACAAAGAGGTGAAGGGGGCCCTGAGAAGACTGCTGCTGGGCACCAGGGCGGTGGGCAAGGAGTGAGGCCCCGCAGGCTGGCGGCCACCTGCCTGGGGCCATGATGGCATCTGCACGGTCGGAGCAGGTCTTGTCTCCACCTGCAACTCCCTGGACTTCTAGAAAGCTCCAGGGTCATTGGTATGTGTTTTACGAGTGAATCACAGAACGCCCTCCAGATCATCCAGTAAAAGAAGACAAAGGGATTGTAACCACCCGCAGGGCAGTGGTCAGAGCTGGCCAGGGCTCACGTCTTAGCCTGACGGCTGCACACGAGCTAGGGCGTGACCAGGTCCCATGGGGGTGCTTTTCTCTTTTCTCTCTCTCACATGCGCCCTTTGGAATTAAACGTGTGTACATATATGAAAAACAAAGAGCAACGTGAAGGGTTGCAACGAGGCGTCCCCCAATTTACACCCGAGTGCCAAGTAGCAGACTTCTGCTCATGAGCAGAGGCTCATTTTCATAGTCGTTCATTTTTAATTCATGAGCAACATTCTAGGGGTTTAGTCTGAGTGACCCCGTCTCGCTCGCTGCTCTGAGCTCAGACCCAGTGCCTCTCCTCTCCAACAGCCACGGACACTGAAACAGAGCAGTCCGAGGCCTCCTGTCTCCCAAGTTCCCACCCGGAGCTTTTGTCGAATCAGTTTTCTCTACCCTTCACCCTACCTCTGTATTTTCTGGTGTAAATTTCTAAATAAACCAAAAACCTGATGTGTAACAGCAATGTGTGGGTTACAGACACGGTCACCGTGACCCAGGCACGTCGCGAGCGGGACCGCGGTGTAGGCTCCCGCTCTGGCCCCGTGACTGTCGGCCCTGCTCGTCTCCTCTGCCTTTGTCTGAGGTCGGCGTGGTCACCGTGTTCCTGTTCTGCCTACTTCACACTTGCAACTCGGAGGTTAAATCATTTACTCGAAGGTAATCCAGGTCCGACCCCCATTCCAGCCATGAGCTTTTAAAGAGCAGATGACCCTTAAAGGCCTCCCCCTCCCGGAGGGCACAGCCTGGCTTTCCCATTCCCGTGCACACCCACACCTGTCCACTGCTGCACTCCCCACGCCCTGCACACTCACACCTGTCGGCCGCCCCGCTCTCCGTGCACACTCACACCTGTTGGCCGCCCCGCTCTCCATGCACACTCACACCTGCCGGCCACCCCGCTCTCCCTGCACACTCACACCTGTCGGCCGCCCGCCCTCCCTGCACAGGCCCCCTCACCCCTGCCGGCTGCCCCGCTCTCCGTGCACACTCACACCTGTCTGTCGCCCCGCTCTCCGTGCACACCCACACCTGTCCACTGCCGCACTCCCCACGCCCCGCACCCCTGCACACTCACACCTGTCGGCCGCCCGTGCACACTCACACCTGCCGGCTGCCCCGCTCTCCGTGCACACTCACACCTGTCGGCCGCCCGCTCTCCGTGCACACTCACACCTGCCGGCTGCCCCGCTCTCCGTGCACACTCACACCTGTCTGTCGCCCCGCTCTCCGTGCACACCCACACCTGTCGGCCGCCCCGCTCTCCGTGCACACTCACACCTGTCGGCCGCCCCGCTCTCCGTGCCCCCCCCCACCTGTCGGCCGCCCGCTCTCCGTGTACACTCACACCTGTCGGCCGCCCCGCTCTCCGTGCCCCCCCCCACCTGTCGGCCGCCCGCTCTCCGTGTACACTCACACCTGTCGGCTGCCCGCTCTCCCTGCACACTCACACCTGTTGGCCGCCCGCTCTCCGTGTACACTCACACCTGTCGGCCGCGTCCACTGCCGCACTCCCCACGCCCTGCACACCCACACCTGTCGGCCGCCCCGCTCTCCGTGCACACTCACACCTGTCGGCCGCCCCGCTCTCCGTGCACACTCACACCTGTCGGCCGCCCTGCTCACAGTCCCTGCCTGTACCTGGGTCCTGGAAGGCAGGTTCTGATTTAGCAGGTCACGGGGAGGGGTGCCCGGCACTCTACAAACCTCCGAGGGAATGGACTTACACCTGGGACCCAGAGCACCTTTTAAAAATCTGCAAAGTGGATTCCACTTCTTTTTTCAGACATCCCAATGGCAGGCACACTGGCGGAAAAGCAGAGATAACACCCACAGAACAAAAGGGAGTAAAATGTGAAATGGAATGACGGCCCCATTCCCGCCTTCACATCAGGGTTCGGTCCTACAGCTTCGTCGCCCCTTCCCCTTCTGCCTGGAGCTGGGAAGAGCAAGAAGAGGGCCACTGGGGCGACCTCACAATTTACAGACATCGGAAACCTCCGCCAGAGGCAGCGTTGGGAGGCTGCTGTTGCTGAGCTGGTAGGGGCAGGACGAGACTCCTGCTCCTCTGTCAGGACCTGTCTGGGGAAGCAAGGCAGCAAGAAGCAGAGTTTGAGAGGAGGAAGGGGTCGAAGGAGGGAGATGGCTCAGGCAACTGAGGGGTCAGGAAAGCTTCCCAACTGGGACCAGCAGTTAGCGTAATGTCTGTGTCGCAGGACTCCCACGCAGCGAGCCGTGCTGCAAGCTCCGGACCCGGTAGTTTAAACTCACACCAGGCACATGTGCATGCGTGCCCAGGATCCCGAGAGGAGAACGCGGGAGAAGGGATTGCGGCGTGGCCATCCCCCCCTGGGGGGTGATTTCTCGCTTTCTGTCTCTCTGTCTCTCTGTCTTGCTGGCGAACGCACGTGCCCTATAGCAAAAATCTCTCAGAAAAGAAAAGAAAGAAAAGAAAAAGAAAGCAAGCTTCCCCAGGGCCAGTCTGTGGTGTGGTAGTTACGGCCGCTGGACCCCTTAGGGCTGACAGCGCACTTGGGGTCCTGGACCTGATGACTTGGAAAGCACACGGGGTGTGTGTGCACGAGAGTCCAAAGTCCTGAAAGGAGGGAGCAGAGGTAGAGAGGGCTGCAGCATGACTGTGGGGGGTGCTTTCCTACTTTCTGTCTCTCTCTGTCTTCTTCTGGCAAGTGCATACACTCTCAAGCAAATTTAAAACATAAAATAATAAGTAAATAAATAAATCGTATTTCTTCGGCTTCTTTTGTTCTGGGAGAGGTGAAGATGGGCTGCAGGTGAGGAACACTCTCGGGTTCTGTTAGGAACTGGAAGACACTGAGACTCGTGGCAGGAACAAACATGGCGGCTTGGTCACGGCGTGCTTAGCGGAGGTGCGAGCCTGCAGGCCTGTGGAGAGCTGTGGCCACAGCCGGCTGGCCCGGGGTACCAGCAGTGAAACCTCCGAGCCAGCTCAAGTCCTTCTCAGTCCGTAAGACCAATAGCGTCCTGCTGGAGTAGACAGAGGCCTGACTCGACCAGCTGAAAGTATACCCATTCCTTTACTCACTTCTTGGACCTGAGTCAGTTACTGGGTAAGGAGAATTAGAATAAAATACTTTATTTTAAAAATCCTCAAAGATTTTTCTGACAGTCTTGTACCTGATGGGCCCGAGGTATTTCTGACGATCTACAGATGAACATGCATGGACGGACGAAGCATGCGTGTTGCCTGCTAATGAAGCCTCGCACACGGCTTGGCCACCGGCCTCTGACAGCTCACAGCAGTGTGTCTGTTACTTTATGTCATCGAAAGAGCACTTGGCCCGAGCAGCAGGACTGACGGGCGTGCAGGATGTTTGTGACCTGTGAAGTTTTCATTTATCGTATTTGTATCTGTGAGTTATCACTGTGTCATCTGTATTTTTGGTGCATGTGAAATTGCAATTGAACTTAATTTTGCTAATGTTTTCTGAATGAGCTGAATAAAGTTTTTGTTGGAAAAAAATTATTGGGGTTCCTATGGGCTCTTGGTAGCAAACAGTTCTACCTAAAGGGCAGTACTGTAGACCCAGAGTTGGTTTCCCAGCCCAGGGTGATACTGAAGCGGAGGAAGTGCTCACACTGACACCTGCCCTGTGGCCTGTGAGGTCAGAAGGCCAAGCACGCAGCCACCTGCAGGAAACAGAAAGACTGAGGCGTGTGGTGGGGAGTTGTGAGAGCACAGGACCTTGTCGCCTCTCTGATGAGATTGGATTTCCAAATTACAGCACAGGACCAGCAGATGGCATGATGGTTACATCACTGGATTCCTATGTAGTTGATCACAGTTCAAGTCCCGGACCCAGGAGCTTAAAACTCAGGCCAGCCACACGTGCATGTGTGCCCAAAATCCCGAGAGGAGAATGGAGGACAAGGGAATACAGTGTGGCCATCCCCACTGAGGGAGATTTTTTGCTTTCTGTCTCTGGCGAGCACACACACTCTAAAGCAAAAATTTCTCCAAAAAGAAGTCATGCCGTGTTCTCCACAGCGCATGGGGGACCCTGCCACAGCTCCCGTGCTGCGTGCACGGCCTTGATGGGAGGCATGATTACTTCTGGTTCACAGTCTTTATTCTCCTCCCCGGCCCTTAGAGAGCTCAGCCTTGGGAGTGGACCGTGGTGCGGCATGAGCAGACAGCCCACCTGGGCCAATCTGAGAGAGCTCCATGGAAGGCCACAGCGGTTCTTTGCTTAGTCAAACATCAGTCTGGCTCTGAATTTATCTCGGGTCTCAGTGAATGTCCTACGAAATCCAGTTTTAACAAAGACCTGGTCTTGTTGGTCCAGGCAGAAGTTCCACCCTCCATGTCTGAGTGGATTTCTCCCTCTGCTGGTCCCCAGGGGTGCTGACCCCTGGCCTTCAGTGACAAGAATCTCCGTAGGTCAGTTCGGCCAGAATCCCGGGCTCTCGTGCCATGCGGGATTTGGAGTTGATCCCAGCCTCTCCCCACAGCAGGAGCTCACAGCAGCCGTCCCCACCTGCCATGGGATCCTCAATTCTTTCTTTCACAAGGGACATCACATGACATGAGACAGTACCGAAGCTGTTTTCTCCCCCTAACCGTGGGGGGAATATATATTAGCAGGTGGAAGGAAAAAACCCGCTATCACTTCAAAATGACCTTTTCTTAAAATTTAACAGCTTTATGGAGACAGACTTGACAGACCATAAACTTTGATACAGATGCCAGCACAGGTTCGTTCACCACTAACGGGACTTCACAACGG